AACTGCCACTAAACGTTTTCAAACGGCATGCCTAGCAGGCCATTCCCACTCCAAGCGGCCCGCGCGCCGTGCGATCGGTGGGGACGATAGGTTGTACATTCGGCAGCAGAGTAGGCCGACCGGACGCGCTTATTCGGCTATCTTTAAACGTTAATATCTCGTTAACTATTGCGCAACCTACAAAATGGTATAAGATTTTTCGATTCAATTCGGTCCGTTCTACCTGCTCATGATCGATTAGCCGATAATTTTCAAACACCCTGTATATAATGCGCATACTAAGAGGTTATACTTAGTTGCAAGGTCATAGAAACACGTGTCTTTGAGAATCTTTTTGAAAAAGCTTAAAGATGTTTTGAAACAAACATAAGTAATTAAATACAAATATTTCAAGGATAACTCTAATTTCTTATAGTAATGTATATTGATAAATAAAGAGATATAGATAATCTCTCTAGAAGCTGAAATTGCATTAGCTACTATAGCTATGAAATTTGCTAATACATACAAAAGGTTTGCTGCTATAGCTAATATAAGGATGTGATAGCAAAGTATGCATGTCTGTTACAGATCAATTTATTTAGCAGCATGAAGTTTGTTGTCATAGTTATCGGATATGTCCGTATAAAAAAAAATTGTCTCTACCACTGCTAAATATGGTTTGCTGAAACTGTACTTGCTATCAAATTGTCTGCTACACCGAAAATGTTTGCTGCAATAAGCAATAGATCGACAATAGCAAAATACTAGTTTTTTACAATCATATAATATTAGGCCTCGCAGCTAATGGAAATTAGGGACTCCGCACAATAAAAGAAACAAGAAACAGAAAACAGAGAATAAGAATTTCAACCTATCAGAAACTGTGTATTCCACAATACATAATTTCTGGTAGGTTGGAATTCTTATTCTCTGTTCTCTATTCTTTATTCCTTTTATTGTACGGAGCCCCTTAGACCTCGCAGATACAACGTTAGGTGTCCATATGTTACGACTGGAATTTAGCTACCACACGCAAATTTTTGCTGCTGCAACTAATCTTTTTTCGTGTATATAACTCACACGATCGTAGAAAGGATCTGCTTTTGTGCAGTTGCCATTCTATGCCTGCTCCGAACTGATATCTGTTTAAATTTGCATAAATTTGTCAATTTTTGTCGGATTGATTTGAAATTTATGGAAAATATTTTTAAAGATACGCACTTTAAAAAAATGTCAAAACCCAAAAATTGGCCATTTTAAAGTTTATACGTACGTATAACCTATAACAAAAATGTTTCTTGTGCTATCACTCAAGTAGCACAAGACGTCTATGGACCATTTTATGTCCATTTTACTCCTACACAACCATGGACATGAAACAGATGTCATCGTAAGTCCCATTTAAGACATTCATTAATTGGACGTAGGTACAGGATGGGTGGCACCCAGTTGCACACGGCTCAATTGGACGCGAGCCACTCACAGCGCTTGAGACTACAAAGCTCCTAAGCACCGGTCGTTGTGATTGGTGGTGTCCAATCGAGCCGTGGTCAATCGGGATCACCCCGTACAGGATGAACACAGAGGATGGCCAGTATTCGATGTAATCCGAAGTTGTGAAAACAAATATCGAGCAAACTTATTAAAATTTATTATTTATTTCCCAACTTTGGAAATTTTGTACATAAAGTATTATTAATTAAATATAGGGGAAAGTTGCTGAATGCGTACCACTTAACGTATTTTTTATTATATTTCTCATTTAGAACTGATTTGTGTGCAAATGAAGATTAGAAATTGTACTTTGATATTTCAAGTACCTATTATTACACG